AGAGCCCAGCGACCATTTGTGTTTCGAAAGTTTTAAACCCCAATTTAAACCCAACTGAGTGTACATAAAGACGATGTTAATCAAAAAGGGAGTATTTACACTTGCTTCCCCCGGGCGTAACTCCTTCAGTAACCCCTGATCCCCCGACCCCTAATATTCATCGCAAGCGATACTTATAAAGAAAAGAATAAAAGTAGGGGACGTAATGATTTGGGATAGAGATAAATTAACTAAAAAAAAAAATGAAAAGCCGCAGGTGGAACGAAGAAAAAACCATGCAATTACCCACAAATTTCAATTAAGATTAAGTTGAGCGAACATGGTGAATTAGCATCGTTTCTTATGATTTTTATTAAAATTATTCAAAATTTTGGTTTTAAAGAGAGAAAATTATAAAGTATTAGAGGTTTTTTTCGTTTTTTTTTTTTTTTGCGTGAAGGGGGATAAAAAAAAAGGGGAATGGGAAAGGGCTGTGGCAGAGGGGGTAGTGAAAAGGGGTTGGGTAAACAGGAAAAGAAAGGGGAAAAGGTTAAGTGCCTGACCACTTTGGAGAGTTTTAAAGGGGGTGGGTTTTGCACTTAGTTAATCGTGGATAAGTTTCCTGGTTAGGTTAGGTAAAGTTTGCGGAAACGGCTAATGTTTCCTGTCGGGATCTAAGATATGATACCCACAGTGGGGATTTTGATTATCTGCAAGAAGCCTTTCCCCTGGGTTTCCGGTCCCCCCCTTTTTAAAAAATTTTGGAAATTTGATTTTATAAATTTTTTTAAGTTCCTCAGGCCACACTTAGGCAAATACGTGAATGGGAGCTGAACAATGGAAAAAAATCAGTCTTGGGGGAACGTTAAATAAAGGGTTGCTGTTTGTTCTGTGTTTTCATTATTTTGAATTACTCCATCAGAGGGGGAATGAAAATAATGAATTAAATTTATTTCCCCCATGAGTAATTAAAAAAAAAAAATTTTTTAATCCCTCTCACCGAAATTATTGATATAATTTTCGTATTAAGAATAATTGGTGTAAATATAGAATAAATTGTAAAAAATTTTCATAAACTTAAATAAAATTTTTAAAATGAATTCAGCACTTTTCTTCAAAATTTATTAATATTTTTGGGGACCACGAGAAAAACAAATCTTTTGCCCGAAACTTTCCCTTGGAAGTGGACACCCCAAAATAACACATTAAATACTGAAGCATTTACACAGTAACAAATTTACAAATTTAGACTGCAATGTATTTACATCTAGTAATCATGCTATTTTTTTTACGGTAAAATCGTATATTATTCGTTTACAACTACAGACCTTTTGTCACAAATTTACATAAGTAGGCTTGACGAGGATACAGATGAATCCACAACGAAATAATTTAGTGATTGCATATGTTAAGACGGAGATTACATGCCTATATTTAAGATCAGTGATTACATATTATAATGACTACAAAGCAAACATTTACGACTGCAACAGCTTCATTATTAACATATATATACTCTTTGATGAATGCCAGCCAGGGACCTGGTTCATTGTGGCCGGGGACCAGTAACCAAACACATACAGAAAACAGTACACACAGCTTGTATGGGGAGATTATCCGCCTAAATCGAAGCCTGCCGCTCTACAACGGAAGAGAGGGGACGCTCGTCAAATAACTGGGGGGGGTGAGGGGAGGCCAGTGAGGGGAAAAGAAAGGTGTGTGAAAAATGTGGAGTAGAGTAAGAAGTTATGGAGTGGTGTGAGAGTGTTGAAGGCAAGGTGTGAAGTTATTGAGCAGTGTCAGTGTATTGGAGGCAAGGTAGGAAGGTATGGAGCAGTGTGGGGGGTGGGGACAAGGTAGGAAGTTATGGGCAATGTGAGTGTTTGGAGGCAAGGTGGGAAGTTTTGGGCATGTGAAGCGTTGGAGGCAGGTGGGAAGTTTGGAGCAGGGGGAGCGTTGGAGGCAAGTGGGAGTTATGAAATAGTGAGGCGATGGAAGGACTTGTCGAATGGTGAGAAAGTGTGGTTCACTTCGCAAGTACTTACCTAACAGTGTTTTTCGGTGGCTGGCCCCAGTTCTTTGGGGCCTCCCTCTTTCTTTCATTGGCTAGTGTATCTCACTTGTCACATTATTTTTAAACCGTAAAGTTTTTTGTCCCTATGTGGGCCAACTCTATTTACCCACCTGAATTTTTCTGATGTCAGTAACTTTAACTACGTCTCAGTTGTACTCAGCAAACCGTAGTTGGTTTTTAAAAAAGTTAATTGCTATTACAGAGCTCTATACTGATGACACTGGCTTTACAAGTCCTGGCATCCAGGCGTTACCTACCTCTCAATCAAACTGTTATAGGTTGCCCTCACTACCTTCGTCTAAATGCTACTTAATCAAACCTGAAAATGAGAGAGCATTTTCGAACCTCCCTGTGGTTTAAATTTCCTTTGTTCTGCCTTTTGCCAACGGCTGCTTATTATCATACCAATACCAGTTTCGCATTTTCGTAAGTTTAGTTTTTTTAAAATTTTTTTTTTTG